TATATATCGTTGTCACATAGCCGATACAAGCTAATGATACAACCGGCGTAGTCAGTCGGCCTTCGAATAAATAATCGGCTTTCGGTGTGATCTTCATACCAGTTGGAGACGAACCTCGGACGTCACTGAATTGGTCTAGGCTAATTTAACGCTCTGTAACGTCGTAAGGATGTAAGCAGTGAACAATACAGAGTCTCAAACTTTGCCGAGAAGTTTCCAATCAGTATCCAAACTTTTTCGTTCTCGTAAAAGGTGTCAACGGCAAATAGAAAAGAAGGAGGATGAGGACGAGAGCGTAATTAATCTATTCGCAGCACGACAATGAGTAAAAGCCTTCTTAAGTACTCGGGGATCAACGCTGTTTTTTCAAGTGACACCGCTGGCGGCAACTTATAGTCCAGCTTACTCATTCAGCATCAGGAACAGACTTTTCAATACAATATAGCCACCGTCGCTGCTTAGTAACGTACTGAGACGCATGACGAACAGCGACACCGGTAACAGATCAAGAGGCACGGGTTCTTCTTCATTCGTACTGTTATGGTCCGGCATCAGTCCACTGTGCCCCTAACGCTTTGATGTTCTGATTAAATCGGCCGAGCCCGGGTGGATCCTGCCATCCGTCATTCTAGTCAAACGCTGCACACTCTATTAGCATAAAGACAAATTTACATTAAGCCCGACAAATTTGAAAGGTCTACTCACGAACAATAGCCAACGCTTCTCTGCCAGCAGCCATTCAGATGTCAACCGGTGAGCTTCATCAACAAGCTGAAGCTATGGCGCGATGACAGGTATTCGGTTCTCTCGTAGTCTACTAGAGCGACATCAAGCTTTATTCAGCAACTGCAGCAGCAGGGTCGTAACTACACCTGTTACAACAAATATGTAGTACTGGTGCAAACGATAAGTTGTAGTTAACAATACTAATAACTTCCAGTGACTAATTCCCAGTGTCAATTATTGTTCTGCAAATTCGGAAACAATCGGGTTTGCGCAAATTTGTGATCGCCTATTAAAGTAGACTCGACCCATCGGCAACGTTTCCGATAGCTGCAACAATACGACTGATGACAACTTCAATAACAACAATAAAAGGCATTAACATTTTTGTTGCTTGTTGGGATCCGAGCACTCGATACCCAAGTGGGTCTTATGCAACAATCGTGGGTCTTCGCGACAGACCCGGACGAATTCTGAATTCGTTCATCAACAACCTTAATTGTTTTGCTATTTACGAGAAACCACAGACTAATTGTCGTCGTAGGCTTCCTGAAAGTTCTCTACGACTTTATCACTGTTGTTGTCTTACTGCTGCTGCTCTTCATCTCGGTAATTTCGAACAGGAATTCCGAATCCAGCGACTGCGATCTCGGACCCTGTCTAGCCGCGTTTAGCCTGATAGGGAACCAACGACAGGACATAACAGCCACCTGTTAACGCTATTCCGCCGACGCGATTCTTTGCGCCTACGTATATGTGTTTTTGTGTGCACGAATTTTCTAAGCAACAGAACGAGAGCAACGAGGAGTCAGCAGCCCAACAAGAGGACAGATAATTAGGACCGATAACGAAGATTTGAGACATACCTCATTTATAACAGCACCGCGTTATATCGACTAAAAAAGATTTCGTTGTCAACACATCCCGGCTGCTAATAGAAATTATACGTCCACTAATTATAATTTGTACATTTCAAGATAATTGTCTAGCCCTCCGCATCATTGTTTGCCGCCAGACGTTATTTCCGTAACTGGCAATTGTATCAATCAAATCATCAATCTGTACGATTCCCCTATTGTAGCACGAGCGATATCGCGGCGGCGACGACGGCGGCGGCGGCGGCGGCCGCGACGCCTGTACGTTATTTACGTGTTGTGTCGCAGATCGTACGTACACTCGTCTTGATCGTGCGGGTTCATTCTCTTCTATCAAACAGTAGGAGTTCTCCTTCCTCCCTGGAGAAGGGTCTCTGAGAAACGATAACCACCGTCGAACGAGTAACATCAAGCCGACCGCTCAAGTCCAAACCTGAGGACCAATCTCCGTTGGTCAAAAGACGCAGAAAGTTTCACAGTTGCCGCACTTCCAGCTCAGTACACAAGGACACTGCAACCCTCTTTGAGAAACAGGTAAATTACCAGTGCACGAAACTATTAGGCCTAGCCTATTCTAAAGTATATTTAAGCGCTAAATAAAATCGATACGGCAGAATAGAATTGAACTTACGTAATAATCGAGCAAAAATTTCCAGCTAATGAATTCGGTTAAAATAGCAAAATCATAACAGAAGTGGCTCGGCCTTTACGCGACGGTATAATCAAAAACAATATACATTGGTAATTCTCTTGGAAATGGTATTTTTATATATATATATTTTTTTTTTTTCTGTCCAAGTTTCTATTTGTAATATAATTTGCATCACAGTTACACCTGAATATGTAATCACTTAAGTTAATTTAACTTCTTGAAAAATCAAAATGTCTATACTCACAGCCATTACGACACATCATATCGTATTGACCAATTTCTACTAATGTGAACTTAGCAGTTCTTTTTCGTTATTCAAAAGTCCTGGTCAAACGTAGTCATCAAGCCATTGAAGCAATCTGTTAATGATTGAAGTACTCTGCTGTATAATTGTGCGAATGCAATTACAGACGGCACCTACCTGACATATTCCACAAACATTCTGGCGATTACTCCATTAATGCGCACTATAGACCTTACTCCAAAAACACCGATAGGATACTAGATTACTATAATAAGGAACTGGCCAAGATTTATACCTTGTTGGGTAATCTTTCATAACCTCAACGAAGGACCGTCTCTAGGACTCGGTCAACGATGCCCTTGTTATAGAAGTGACAAAATAAAGCAGGCGTGGTGTTCTTTACTTATCATCAACATACATTATATATATATATATATATATATATGAACATAATAGTTAGTTACTTTTAGTGCCCAAGAGTCTGGCCTCAATGAGGCCAAATGCGATGTCCCAGCTTTCAAACTAGGGACTTTTCGCTTCAGAACAGACAGTCAAGAGGGTCTGCCAATTTAAGCATCTGATTTAGCTAATTATATGTAGTTTACGGGTATCTGATATCAGCAATCGTACTAACCTGATGAGACCGGCCACAAATGTCTAATTTCTCGTAGTAGTACACGTAAGGCTATCCGTGTTCAAAACAGAGACCAAGTGCGCCCACCGCACAGCTTCCGTGGTAGTGTCCAAACGACTAGAGCCGGACACGTCTTAGAGCGACCGTAGGCCAAGGATTAAAAACCTTTGTAAGTTCAAAATCAGGCGTTGACATACTTTGTTTCGCACTGGGGGCTAGCAGCCTGAACTAATCCTTAATGGGAGCGCAGACGCAAGACTAAAAACATTTATTTATTTTGGCTGTTATTTGCTTGCCGAGCGCGTCGTCTAGGATTAGTGAAGAATATTTTAGAACACACAAATAATATTGATTAAGTTAACCGTACCCATTCTCTTTGGTGAGCTACTAGATCTTTTTGTCACTAACAAAAGGATATACAACCGTGATCTTGAATTACTGCTGGATTAAATAAATATTTAGAATTTACATTGTACACTGTACATTTAGAATACACTGTACATGCTTTAACCGTGAGAATCCCGGTTGTTCCCTGCGAAATAATCCCATCTATGTGACGTACGTGTACTACCCTTTTTTAGTCGCTCAAAATAGTTTGTTAGTTGAAATCCATCGTAAAAAACAAGCATACGAATCAAGTCAGAGTGTTACGTTTGCTAAGTTCTTTTCTGTTGATCGGATCAACGAGTTATGGACTCAACAAAGAAAAATGGTAAAATATCGAAGATAAAGCAGATTTGACGAATGTCAAATTAAAACGATATATTTATAATTACAATAGTGTTATCTATACATATAGCAAAGGCGGAATTATGTTAACTAAGTAGGTTATAATTTTTTCCAAAGTAGTGGACAGGAGCTACCTGAAGTACGTTACCAGCGTTGAACGTCGTAGAAGAAAATCAGGCTCACACAAACGCTGCCAGACAACCTAGAACATGCCTTGATCTTTCCGGGAAAAATTTAATAGCCAATGTGCATTTTAGCTGGAAAAATCGAAGGTCTTGAGTTTACTTCACGAGTTCGCTCCTGAGTCGATCTTTTACTTGGCTAGAAAATTTTTGACTCAAGGAAACACCGAGAGACAATCAGAGGTTTTAAGTACACGGAATCCGTGCGGATCATGTGCGATTTCTATAGAAGAAGCAGCTTGCGAGCTACTGTTAAAGCTTGTCAGATACCTATGGTTAATCGACGTGAAAATCCACTTCGTATGTATATAGTCTACGTTATCATATTCAAAAACGCCACTTTGTCCTTCAGCTTAGGGTTTTCACATGTGTTGAAAGTTAGGCTTCATTCGAAGGTGCAGCATTTTAAGTATAAAAAACTATGTTTTACGATAAAAAGAAAAGCTGCTATGGCATCATCCGAGGATATCGTCTTTCAGAAATACTAATTCTCCCAAGTCTTTCAGAAGCGTTACTTTTCCTTACAAAATCTCTGTAAAGTACCTCGGTTCGTGTAAAATCAACATCAAGAGGATTTATTGATTTTTGGCCTTCAAATCACTGTTATCTTTGAACAGTAAAATAAAACACCAATTGCGATCTATTGCACCATTCAAATAGGTTAACTAAATAGAAAGTGACACTGACAAACTTGCAGTTATTATTGGTGTTTATATGCTTTTTGATATGGTTTTTTTAATTGTCGTCCAAGTCTTGATTCTAAGACAGTAACCAACCTATTGAATCACTGAGTTCACAATCAAAGAAAGAGTAGACTCTGAACATCTTAGCTATATCCCTGGCGAAACTTAATTTTTAGTAGCTTTCTGTGGCATACCTTTAACTTGCGTTTGAGCTTCAATTTTTATACAAGGCTTGCACAGAACGCGTGCACTATAACAAATAGTTAACGCTGGCCTGATAGGACGTTATCTTTGTTAGGTCAGACACATCAACAGATGGCGCTTTTGATGTGACTCGACTAGATTAGACCTTTACGTCATTTCCGAAGTACAATAATTTACGGCGCTTTATGGTAAATGTTTGTGTTCGAATAAATTTCTCGTACTGTAAAAAAAGACTGATCTTCTGTGAAAGTTTCGATCCTCTATAAAAAAAAAAAATATGCTCCGAGATTTTGCTTAAACAGGAATCATGCAGTAAAATCGTGTGATAGAGTTATATTAAAAATACCATCGTCGTTCATGTGATTGTACACTACGTCGTGTCGCTCCTTTAAGGGACCTACCGGTTTTGGCACTCCTGTCCTTCGAAGGCATCTTGGTCAGGCGTTACCAGCAACAAGCTATCCTTACTCTATCCGCGAACGCATAGTCAGCATCAGTCTGATATTTATCTGCAGTTAGTTATTAATTAGTTTATTAGGGTCAATTTGTATGTAATTAGGTTATTATTAGCCTCAGGCTGTCCTTGAGAGCTATAGTTCTGCTTTGGAAAATCTATCTTATGACAATTCGCACCAGATTACCAGTCTCATACCTTGCATCCACTCCCAGAATGATCTATCAACATATCACTTAAATCGCCCATTTTTCCTTGCAGTACACATCTAACGTTATGTAAATTTTTCAGTAGACCGATAGGTAGCGTCTAGATATACAACAGAAAACGGGAAAATGTCTATTTCGATCATACTGCATGTAACCTAAGCAACTTCTTGAGTAGAAATTTCAATTTAACATCAATCGCAAAACGACGAAGTTCTTGAAAGTTTTTGGGATTATTACGAATGGTAGGTAATATAGGCAACTCAAGGAATCCTGACGGATTCCTTCGTTAAATGACTGAAGTGGTGCGTAGTGGCTGTATGGAACGTCAAACTTCGAATAAAAATCCTATTTGTCGAACTAGACATTTTTCGTAGTTCTTCCACATAGCACGCCGAAATCCTGCAAATTGACACCTCCTCTGACCCGGTTTGCTGAATTGTGGGACCTTTATATATCTACAAGTGAGAGAAGCAAGGACTAGATTTACAGTTAGAGCAAAAAGTCAGTCTCGAGTTGAAATTTGATTGAGAAGACAGCTCAATGTTAAGGCTACATTTTCCTAGCTAAAAGCATATAATTTTAACTGTAATTGCATAAAGCAGTCTAAGTAGGACAAAGGACATGAAAATCAAAGGAAAACAAAGGCGTTACGTACAAATCGTAGAAAAAAAAATGTTTTATTGATTATGAATGCAAAAAGTGTACTAGGTTAAGCGAAAATACACGCAGAACGTCGAACTGAGTACGCTAAACGTAGCTTTAAACACGAACGTTTCAACGAAATGTCTATGTAAGGAGCTACAGGTCTAATTAGATGCTGTCAAATCACGTATGAAATTCAAATCGAAAGACACTTTAAGCCGGCATATTGCAGGACATTCTAGTTGGCACATGGATAGGCCATTTCTGGACTGGTTATTCGTTACGACAAAACAGTCGTAGGCGAAAAAGGATAAATAACCTATACAGAAATAGCCCCAGCCAATTGCAGGGGTCATACGATTACCGCATTTTTATTCTCTAGCTATTTATTGATAGAAGCACCATCTACCTTTAGTAAGTGATTACATTCAGTGAAGTCTGTATGCAACGTGGATAATAAGCGTTGATTACTTAAGGCATCCCAGAACTTTTCTCCCATAGCCATTGCTATCACGTACGGTTGACACGAAATCAGCTCACTACGAGCAAGAGTTGGAAAGACTGAAGATCAAATGTCCCATTATTCGGACGTTTACTAGGGTATGCAGGTGTCCAACTTTGAATCTAAACTGCGTTTGCTCGCTTCCGGTTAGTGTCCAAACATGCTACACTATCGTATAGACACATTTGAAGTGCCAACATAGGTAAAATCCACTAACGAGACCTAGCTCGGATAATTAAACATAATATAATAACTATGAGGCTCGACCGATATCGCTGTTTCATGAATCTTTCGGCATAAGCTTAATGTCTTAGCAGTAGCTGAATTTTATCTTACTAATACCTACGAAGTTTTCTTCCGACTTTTACGTACGACTCCGCAGCACGACAAAGAATATAT